TTCTTTTTTTCGCGGCCCCCCCCCCAGTATGTGGGACGTCAGCATGAGAAATGGAGAAAGTTGGTGCAAGCAGACGTGCACTATCAGCGCACATTACTGGGCAAGACCTTGGCAGTCTGGAAGGTAGGAGGGAATGTCCTTTTCTTCGTGGGACTTGTCTGTGTGTGCTTAAGTGTTTCAGTGAGAACTGAAGAGCTGCCATGCTGTTTCACTCGAGGCACTTACACACCAACTGTGCAAGGTAGAATGGCGGCTATTGTGGATAGGGTTGTATAAGCTCTAGCATTGCTTTTTGGAGAGAAAGAACCAATGTAATCTTGTGGCTTTGGTGAAGGGTATGTAATAGCTAGTGTAAACTAGTGTATAATGGCTGTTCGTTTCAGAAAAACAGCATTCAATTTCAGTGGCTGTAACATTTTTTTTCCCTATACTCTACTGCTGCTACTACTTTACTAAGCTGCTACTAAGAGTTTCCAAATGTCTTCTCTCCTCAGAGATGTTGGCAGTTGAGGGAAATTTTACCTCTTTCTGCTTTTCTTGCAGAGTTACCAGCATAACATACAGTGCATTCTATACCAAGTAGCTGAAAAGGAGAAACGGCACACTAGACTACTGCTGCGGTAAGCCTGTGTTTCCTTGTGCAGCGTGAGAGAGCAGTGATTGCACTGCAGTCAAATTACTCTTTTTCTTTCACTGCCGCCATTGTAAATTTTTGAGTGTTCAGTGCTGGGAATTGACTCTGCCGTGCATTGCTATTTCTGTGCAGGTCATCTAGCTAAAAGAAGTCAACCTCTTCCTGGATTGCCATCTGTTTTGCTTTAACTTTTTTTTATCTGTGTTTAGTCCCATGAGAGACAGCAGACAGCAAACTGTATCACTCCCTGCAGTGCATGGATTCTGACTGCTATGACACAAAAGCAGCCTGGAAGATGTAGAGGCCGTCTTGCATTATAGTGAGGAGAGCGATTAATGATAATATCACTTTGTGTTGGTTGTAGTTGCTTTAGTTTTAACTACCTCATTTGTTTTTAGTGCTATAAACTTGAGTCACTTGCAGAGCCTGATTGACTCAGTTTAAGATGCTAGATTTAAGAGTGTGTTCTGCTTTTGCACTGCCTTCTCCAGCAGAGACCTGAAGGGGCAGAAGTTGACTTGCAAGACTGGGTTTATAGAGGCAGCTGGTTTTGGTTCCCCTGCGAATGGGAAGGTACCAAATGAACAAGTGAGAATCATTCTTAATGGTGTTTTTTGTTTTTTAATTTTTTATACATTTTGCCTTCAGACAGCTTCTGTGTACGTGGAGAGAAAATGCCCTTGCTCTTACACGTGAAGCTAAGGCAACTACTCAGGCAGATGAGCACTACAGGAGAGCAATCCTGTCAAAGGTAGGGTCTGTATAGCAGATACCAAGGTACAGATGCTAGTTCAGGCAGGGGTCAGGTAATGCAATTAGAAGGACCAAAAACTTCATCTAAGAGCCACTACTAAGAAAGGTCTAAAAAGTGGGAGTCCCATCTTATTTTCATACGCATCTCTGAAACTGTTGTCTCTGAGCGAGCTCATGGTTTTTCCTCTTCCTTTCTTTCTCCCCATTTCCTAGAAGGAAGGGAAAACCAGTAGTATGATACAGCATAGTAGAGTTACCTTGGGGGGGGCGGGGAGATGGGCAGATGGAGAGACAGAAAAGAATGCCTTGAAAAATGCCAGGGGGACCCTCTGAAATACTGCTGTATTCAATTTGTGGGAAATTTGCACTGTCTTGCGGAGCCTTATGTGGAAAATGAGATGGAAATAGTTATGGTGCCAGGAATGTGGAGTACATTGCTTCCCCTTCCAAAGAACATTGCAGTGTCAGTCTGTATCCTGTCTCTTGTTTGCATTATATCTTTAGGTGTTGATACAGTGGAGATACACTGCCTCGCTACAAGTGTATTACCGTCAGCAGAAGGTGACAGCTGTGATGGAGGCCAGAAAACATCTGGATATAGGTGAGCTGATGGAGATATTAAACTCTCAAAAGACTTAGCTATCTGTGTACGATCCTTAGAAAGACATGGCTTAGTAGGCCAGTCTTTTGTATCATATGTACAGATGAAATGACTGGATGGTCTGTTAAGCCTACAAGGGATGTCCCCATAGAATGGGGAATGACCTGGGACTCCAGTGATCTGTTGAAGGCTTCTTGTGTGACTTTTGCTTCTCTATTGGTTCCTTGTCTATATAAGGGATGGTAACGCTTCCTTCCTCAAAGGAATTTTCCATTATTAATTTTGAGAAGCTCAGACGTCTCTGTTTTGAGGGCAGTGCAAGTAATCTTATCAATTACTGCTTCAGTCTTTCTCTAGTAATTAATACAGAAAGGCCGTCAAACTCTGCAAGCATTTTCATGGTACCAGCCACATTCTTGACATGAGGACTCTGAAGCACAAAGAGGGCAAATAATTTCCTAAAGATTATAAAGAATGTCAATGGCAGCAGGGAAGACTTGCAAGTCACGGCTCACTGTCTGTTACCTGAAGTGTTTCATGATCCTTCTTCCTAGTGCTGAGTATTGTTAGTGTTAAGTATTACTAAAACAGTCTGGAAGAGTAGCTGATCACTTGATACTCTCTGACATTAATAGTCTCCTTTTGGTACATTAGTTAATTTATCTCCTCCTAACAGTGCATTTACAGACCCTGTTTCTTCACTGGAAGGAATTAACCAGGGAGTCTCTGATGCTGAGGGCTCAGCAGCACAGGGCAATACAGCACCACCAGCAGCACCTACTCCAAAAGTACCTGGTGAAATGGAAGAAATATCATCAGCGATGCCTTGGGAAAATGGTGAGAAGGATCAGCAGCCTCCCCAGCCAGTGACCCAGGGTGGGAAGTTGTGGTGTGGAGGAGGTCATGTGCCCTGGTGATGAAGGCAATGGTAGTCTTGGCTGAGGAGGAGCATGACAGCCTTGTGCATTGAGGAGGCAGGAACATGCCTGTGTCTTGCCTGAAGAAGCTTTGATAGAACTAATAGACTTAACAAGAGATGACAAGTTGGGCTTGGCGTGTGTGGGATCATTGACTGTCAATGAAATCCTTGCTGAGCTTATAGATACTTGCAAATGGGGTTACACCATATGGCACTTAGATATTGAGGGTGGCCTCAATGGAACAAAGGGAAGGTGATAAAGGCTGTTTGGTACCTGTTCTGCTCTAGTAGCATTTGGCTCAGGTAAGTGGGGTTTGTCTGCAAGTGACTCACTGTTTTGGTCGCCTTACAGCTACTACAGAGACAGGGAGATCAGCTAATGGCTCGTAGACTTTGCTCTGCTTCCTTCTCTTGCTGGAAGACACAGGTAAGGAATTGTCCCCTGGGTAGGTATCTAGCTCCTTGCTGATCCTTATCCCTTCTTCTCCTTCATATTCCACTTACACATGAAGACCTCAAAAATTTATTTAAACATTTTCTGGATTTTTTTGTTCCACTAGCACAAGAGACATCTTGTCATATACTGGGTGAACTGAGTAGGTTATTCTGCTATGGCTCCACCAGCACTTCTGTTTGGTTGATGCTCCATTTGGCTGGCGTTTCTGGTGTGGGATATGTAAACTCCTAACCTGGTTGCTGTGCAATTTTTTTCCCTGATAGCTGTTGCAGCAGCGATGGGAAAAGCTGAAGACAGTGCAAGCATTGTGGCACTGGTCCCTTTCATTGCAGAGGAAGGTAAGAGTGTTTGGGGGTCAGGGGCAGACAACTGAATTTGCAGATGTGCAGATCATGTGCAGATTTGACTGCGATCAGCACAGTGCATACTGAATAGCTGTTTCCTTTCATCTTTGGGGTGCTATATGTTATTTTAGGATGCTGGAAAACCATCCCTAAGTCCTCTTATCAGATTAAAAAATTTGCACATTTTTCCCCATCCAGCCTCAACTGACTTAAATCCCTGTCCCTTTGTCCTTGTGGTAGTGTCCTGCTGTTGCTGTAGCTCTGCCTGTTGCTATCCAGTGGAAGGGAAAGTGTTCCTGTCTGCCGGGAGAGTCCCTGGCCTGGAACCTGTCTTTGTAACACTCACAGCTATCTGCTGTTCATGTTGTAGGTATTTGATGCTTGGCTCAGATTTGCCAAGGGACAACAACAGAAGAAAGATCACACTGAAAAAGCCACAGGAGTTTTCCACACTACTGTTCTGAGAGAAGGTGTAACCCGGGTCTTGAGATACACTGCTGGCATGGAACAGCTGGGGGGACAGCTCCAAGCCCAGCACCAGCTGAAGGTGAAAGAGACAAGTGATTGCTCAGATACATCCAGGACTGGTCTGCTCTCATCTACTCTGTGTGTGTGTATATGTATCTTGGCGCCCTACATCTCGGCTCTTGTTTGGATCTGACATACACTTTTGCCTGTGGTTCAAACCAAAACACCCAGTCCTTTCATTCAGCTGAGACTAGAGCACTTCAGACTTGTGTTGCTAATTGGGAACCTTTCTTAATGAAGCTATTTCAAAACTGGCCAATTCCTACCGTAGACAATACAGATGGATGAAACCTTTGCCTGTGGGTACGGTCTGGGCTCTAAATTCTGTGCTAGAATGAAGAATTAGAGGCTGCATATAATCCTGTCTTAGCTTTAGCATCACTTACACCTTCAAATATGGGCTAGTGTCACTTCTGCCTTTGAGTATCAGCCCAGCCCTGTGTGTGGAAAGGAAGATAGGGATGCCTGTATTGATAGCTCTCTTCCTGCTCCTGGGCAGCTTTCCCAGCTCTTGTCCAGATTTTCAAGACACTAGTTGTTCCATTTGCTAATGTGCAGCCTGCCTCATTGCAGAAGTACCCAGCTAATTCTCTTTACCCAAATGTTACCACAGTGGACCTGCTAATTTAGCTTAGAGAGCTGGTATGGCTGTGAGGTCATCAGAAATCTCAGTTCCTTTCTGTGGTGGTGTTCTCCCTGGGTGGCGTGCTATTGCTTCCTACTCTCAGCTGTCAAATGCTTTATTATTCTTTGTGTTGGCAGGCAGCCTACAACCTTCACCAGTCAGTGTATCGTTGTGCCATGCTGTGGAAACAGAAGGCTCTCTCCAACAACTTAAATAAGCCTTGTTCTTTTCTGCCACCTCTGAAGAAGCAAGTGACGTTTAAAATGCCTGATGTCAGCCCTGAAACAAGAGGACATTCAGAGGAAGAGCCATGGCCTTCAAAATGCAGTCATGTACCATTTCACCTTGCTGATGGGGACACAATTCGCAGTGATCTGTGAGTGTAAACTTCTAGTCCCTCCTGTGTTTCTCTGGCATATATGTAGCTTTGCATATATGTAGTCTGTCTGTGTGTGTCACTTTTGTATTTCCAAGTTTTCACACTGATGACTGTTATTTCCATGCAGTTTCCCTAACTCTTTCTCTGACCCTGCATCATACGGCTGGCGTTGCAGTTATGAGAGCTGCTGCGTAATGCATACATCAGCCCACAAATAATGAAAGAATTTGTGACTTTATACTTACATATCAGTGACGAGTAGAATCAGCTCAGCTATATACTTTCCACTGTGCATTTCTCAATATACCACTATGAATTCATGGAGCATTGGTCATTTGTCATAGGAACAGTTACACAGAGAAACATTTGAAAGATGTATGTGATGGGACTTTTACCGTGATGAGAGCTTATCTTGCCCAAGTGACCTAGAGCTGTCACTGAAGCTCTTCTTTTTTTTTTTTCACTGAAGTCATATATAGGGTCTGATGAAATGATAAACATCAAGATCCTGGCTGTGTAGAAACTGAACTTTCTTCTTGCCCCTTTCTTTCCTTTGGGGAAGCTATTCCTTAAAAATTCTTACTGATCATGGGGCAATTGCAAGGAAGAATCTTCCATGAAGCTTCTCAGTCCAGGACAGGAGCCTTACAGGGAAGTAAGGTGATAGCTTCACATTTCTTTAAGCTAGCATATGCTGCCAAAAGTAGTAGTTCTGCCTTGTTCAGTTCTGTCCCTTCCACCGCTCCTCGTGGCACAATCATTCATATGGTGAGCCAGATTATGACGTTAATACAGGTCGAAATTTAATCTTTAAAAATTATTATTGCGTGCATGGGGAATGTTGCAAAGCAGGGATGAATGATGGAATAGGACGGCTTCTTTAGCTGCAGTGCCAGCTTATGCCAATTTAAAATAATCATGAATCTGGGGCATTATTGGTTCTGTTTGTTCTTTTCAGAAATGCTATTCGACAAGCAAGGTTACCACCACGGAGGCCTGACTTCCTTCTGCAATCTCTGGAAAGCAAGGAACTGCTGGGACCTCCTTTTACTAGGTAGAAAATCTGTTTTTAAGAGGGTGACTTACAGTGGGCCTTATGCTATGCTTATCCCCTCAAATCCCCTTACCTTGATAATACAGGGCATTCAGTAATTATGTGACTGTGCATTGCTCTATACTATCAAAAGGCCATGGTGACCTTAAAAACTTCCAGTTTCTTATGTGAAGCAGACAAGAATAATGTAATTTTCAAGTTAATTTTAAATAGCAACCAAGGCCTTTGTTTCATAAGTGAGAGATTTTGAGGGAAAGACAAGGCACAGCACTTATTTCCAAAATTAATGGGCTTAGTTAATAAGTTAAGTTTCCTTTTCTGTCAGTCTTGCCACATAAACTTGGAAGTTTGAGTTGTGCATGATGCTTTTTGGCTCATAGATCATATCTGCTCCACAACAGGTTTGGGTGTGGATTTAACTAATCTACTGGGGAATCATTAATGATTCTGGTAATGCAGAGCCAGAACTGAATAGTCCTCTCTGGCTTGGCTGAATCAATTTTGCTGCTCTAAAAGGAGCTGCTTTTTTATTTTTACTTTCCCCAAAAGGTCTATGCTGCTGAAATAGTTCAACTAAGCAGTGGTTTCACGGTCTTGAGTGTTCTGCATTTGTTTTAGTTATGGTATCATTTCTTAAGCCCTGAAAGTGAGTGATTTGAAACTGCTCTTGCTATAGAGGCTGAAACTGCTTTTAAGCAGATGTTTAAACTGAACTTTTCTGTGTGAAACTGTTCTGTAATTAGCTTTAGAGAAGGGAGATATCTATCAATTTCCCGTCAAAACCTGAGATTGCTGCTTCTGCTTGCCTCTTTCTCTTGTCCCCAAACCAAAATAAAGCTGGATTTTGTTAACGGGTTGAATTCTCAGCTCTAAAGAAATTTTTTCAGCCTGGATTAATGTGGATTTGGAGCAGGGCAGGTAGGAGTAATGGAAACCTTAACTGCTTTGCTGCTTTTGTTGTTTGTTTGTTTTGGGTTTTTAAACCATTGTGGTGTTTTTCTCCTTTTTTTATTTTTATTTTTTTAAATTGGGGCTTCCCCTGCATAGTAAAGCAGCTAACTGGAAAGCTGTGTGCAAGGGAATAACAAGATTCTCCCTTTTTTTTTTTTTTTGCACTGACTGCAAAGGACAAGACCAACAGGTTGCAATGTATAGGGAACTCATCCTTCTTCCTTTACAGATCAGAGGCACCCTTTCAGCAAACATCTGTGAACAAATGTTCTGCGCAGACTGGGAACTTAATGCTAATACCTCAAATGGAAGAAAGTACCTGTAAACATCTATCTCAAATGAGCAATACCACGCATTCCTATCCATCTCTCACACATGCTGCTCTCCGGTCTGTACCACTGTGGACACATGATGTGTGCCGTGCTGTTCAGAGGCCAGAGCTATGGTCTCCTTCATCTGTCATGCCCCAAATGAAAGCTGGAGCAGAAATGGTGAGTGTATTGCTGAAGGAGAACCTAGTGGGCTTACTGGGCTACTGTCAACGTGCATGCTGCTTGTTGCTGTTTTTTCTTGTGGCTCCTCTGGACTGCCCATCTGGTTGTTGAGCTATTCTTTTCTTGTTCTAGCTATCATCTTAAAAGCTGACCTAATTAACTGGCTCTGAATGCCCAAGAACTGTTTACCACCAGTCTGAAGCAATATTTCACTAGCTGACCAGTCCACATGTGTGTTGTACTGTAATTCATGCCTTTTTTCCTGGTCTTGTGTCTTTCCTAGCAGGATGCTTTTCCTAGCAATTGACTTGAGAGTGTTGCTCCTTCAAAGAGTTCAGAGCAGTTAGTTTGCCAACCAGATTACAGGGATTTAAGAGTAACTCAGTTTAGTAGCAGTGGCTATTGCTGAGTCTCAAAAATTGAAATTCACTTCACCTGCAAGTAGGTACTTGCATTTTAAACTCCTCTGTTCCATGCAGAATGGGAGGTGTTAATCTTGATGAAATATCTGCATGCTAGAAATGAAAGAGCCCATTTCTTAAGCTCTGCTTCTTCTGTGGTATTTTATGAGAGGGCCTCAGCAACTACGGGGGATGTCTGAGTGGGAATAGGGCTTAGTAGGTCAGGTGCATCCTACTTGTAGGGCTTACTCAAGAAAACCCTGAGGAAAAAAACAGTATCATTCTGACCTTGTAGAGAGGTCAGCCTGGGAGTGGTCACGAAGGAGCCCATTCCCAAGACTCTCAACAGGACTCTGTGGAGAAGTTGCGACCAAACTTGCAGCCATGTTTGCTATCACCTGAAGACTTGGTGGGAAAATGGAGTCACCAAACTGCAGGTAGGTCCTCAGATCTAAACTGTAGCAGTTGTGTGTCCTCCTCCAATATATGCAAGACTGCAAGTCAACTCTACCAAATGTAAGGGAGACAAGGCAGTCTTGTATGCCTGCATCAGGAGGTGAAGAGTATCAGTCGTTCCTTTTCAGGATGGTAATAGTGTTTTATGGACTCTGCTGAATCAGGGGACTAAAGCCCTGTTCTAGGGATTTGAAGGATGGGAACTGCTAGGGGTCAGCTTCTTTTAGAAAGAATGTGCTCAAGTGCTGGGGTATTCGTGTACACAAAGCTGAATGTACAGCAGAACTCGCTTCAGGAGGCAAGAATTCACCCAGTAAGGGTCTCTAAGTTTTCCCCGTACTTACAGTATGGTTGTAAAGGGGACGGATGGTGTCTAAGCACCTCTCAATATGGTGTTTTTAATGACGTAAGGGCATGAAATTTGTGTTCCACGGGACTAGACTGATTGACTGACTTCTAGAGTAGACGTAAAACACTAAATCATGAATAGCATTTGTAGTACTAAACCATTCACTAGAGCATTTATCTTTTTTTGTATGTTTAAACTGAGTCTTGAGAGCTTGTAATGCTGTCAGGGCTCCTGCCCTCTCACTGTACCTGATCTTTTGGGTGAATAGGTACATGTCACAGGGTGACAAAATGTGTGAAGAGGACTCCGGAGGGTTCCATGTTTCCTGTCTACTAACGTGACTTTCCTTGATAAGAAGAAACAGTGTAAGTCTGCTCTGTTTCCATTGCTTGTGCCTTGTATCTTCCATTCAGCTGAAGGGGAAGAAAGGCAGCACAGTTCCAGAGAAGAAATGGTGTTACAGAGAAAGCTGGAAGTTGAACTCCGACACATCCAACAGCAGATGCAGTACTACTTCAGCAGGAAACAAGAACTCAAGTATGTTGCAAAGCCCCCTTAGCCAGGCTTTCTTAATGCTGTCAACTCAATATTGCATTTTTTGTATGTATCTACTTTGAAAATAACCAGTCTGTTCACAGCAGAACTGTGAATGAAACAGAGAAAAGTTCTAGAGATTTTTAAGAGTTCACTCCATGTGGGAGAGAGTACATGCACAACTTCTTTTGTAGTCAGCAAGTGGTTTAATTATACCTTTGGCAGCTATTGGAGAAAGCATGACAAAGGTATCATTGGGTGTAATCTGAAGGCAGTACAAATGAACTTGGCAGAGCAGCTGAAATTTAGCTTTTAGTTCTTTTATCATGAGGAGTGAAGACTTAGCTTTTTCAGCTGTCAATTAAAAAAAAAAAACAGCTGGAGTCTGAAAACTTTTCTACTAGAACAAAACAACATTTACAAAAATGTTTAAAAGAAAATGGGGCTTGGAGGGGATTCAAGGAAAGGAAGAAGTCAGGAACTAGGAGTAGGAAATGGAGACAACAGCTTTCAGGCAGATTTCTCTGCCTTCCAGCATCCTTTTTTTTTCCTCTTATTTTAAAGACTTTTATCATTCACTGGTTTGAGACAAAAAATTGGGTCTTATTGCGAGTATCAATTGCAGGTCTAGTTGGCTTAGACTGTCGAGCTCCTAATTGGCATAAGAATCCTTCTAATCCATTTTATCAGATCCTGTCAGCAGCAGGCACAGATTCTACACAAGTGGCTAGAAATGAGCACACAACCAGAGGACCAAGATGGTGTACACGGAGTTCAGGAAGAATTGGATCAGGTGTGTAAATAGCAGACAAATTGAAGTTACTTAAGTGATTATCGCTATGCTATGCACTTAGCCTAAAGGCTGATGGTAATTGTGAGGAACTGTATAGTAAGCTGTTATTAAAATGCCAGAAGGGAAACTTGTAATCAGAAGTGGGCTGTCGAGCAGAATGGACTGCTGTATAGATGCATCTTCCTATTTGTTCAGAAATGTAACTCCAGCTCCAGCAGATCTTTTGAAGGCCATTTCCAAGCTATATACCAGGCTTTAGTAGATTCAGTCTCAAATTTTTTTCTGTGATTTCTCAGGACAGTGTAGCTATACTACGACTGCATTGCCGTCGGTCCCCAAGTTCATACAGCCATGTGTGTGGGGTACTGCACTGTTACCTCTAAAGCTAGCCAGTACTTGGCTGTTCCCGAGTGACGCAATCCTGTCACTTAATGGTTCTTAAGTAGGATAATACAAAGGCTGCTAGAGCTCCTTCACTCTTCCCCTGTCAAAAAGACTAAATGCTGTCTTGCTGTACAAACAGCTTATGCAATTGTTTTCACTTTCAGTTGCACATGAGGATCAACACTCTCACCAAAGCACAACTAAAAGAGAGACATCTTGTGCAGAACCTGGTTGCCCGCCTGCATGATATCCAGATTGCTCTGGATATATAACGCATCTGAACCAATTTTCCAGCTCATGGGTAGGACTTTTTGCCTTTAGAGGGAAGAGATGTATATGTTATCTTAGTTATGTATGGCATTTTTTAACTTAAATATTTTTGTTTGTTTTATTTTGTTACTACAGCTGGTTAAAAACCAAACCAACCAGGAGCTAAATGTACCTCATGCTGCACTCGCAATACCTAGTTTAGGTTACCCTGACATTTCAGAAAGATAAGCAACACTGATAAGACTTTTTATTTCAAAATGTTTGCAATTAAATGAGTTAATATCAGTAAGTCATACACTTTGACATACAAAAATACCGTGCTACTGATACAGTTGAAGAATTAAATGGATTCTCCATGCAGGAGAAATTCACAGCATTATCAGTACCCTCTAGGAACTTTGCTTTCACTTCCAGGGTGCATATGACCACTGCGTAACAAGTAATGTTTGTTTATCAGCTAGCTCTGCACAGTATTAAGACCATCACAAAAACAGCCACTTGCATGCTGAATCCTCTCCTCCTTCTTAGAAATCTAATAAAGCAAACATCAGGTAACCTGTCCTTCATTACGAGGCTAACAGTAACCTTCAAGATACTGTGGATGATGATGCTGAGTAGGAAGAATTAAAGCTTCAAGTTGCTTTGGCTGTGTCTGGATGCCATAGGCCCCAGTGGAAAAGGGGCAAAAGATTTCAGTTGTCTTTTCTCTCATCCACTGGAATAAATTTGCTTTCTATTGTTAACATGATGTTGAAGCTTAGTCAAAAGGCTACTCATAGCTTTATCCTCTTGGGGTTGACGTTTGCCTTAGTTTTTTCTCACTCTTAATGGTTTTAAAAAGTGTACATTTCTATAACCTGTATATGACAATATACTACTGCAGGAATAAACTTGCTAATGCCAAGAAGTTTAATAAGGTAAGTGGCTGAGAGCCACTTCAAGCTTTCAAACTCCTCCCCGTTTAAAGTGAGGAAACATTGACTCTTGGAGCCAAATGAATTTTCTCCTGCTTGTCACCCAAAGAGCCACCATAATCTGAGTCAGGGCTGGGGTACATCACTTAAAGGCAGTCTATCATCCCGTCTTTCCTGATGACAAGCTAAGCATACAGGACTTGGCAAACTGGACATTTGTACAACAAAATTATATTCTATTTTCTGCAGTGCATACAAAGAAGATACGTTGGTTGGTTTTTTTTTTTTAGGAAATCCGAGCTGGTCAAAGCTTACCATCTCCTTGAAGCAGCAGAAAAAACACTCAAGGCTCAAGCAAGGAAGTAATATGAGAAATCTTTCAGAGAGCAGAAAGGCAGGTTTCATAAGCATGTCCACTCCAACAAGCTCTGGACAGCAGTCCATTCTAAATGTTTGAGTGCCTGGACTTGAAACAGCTTATTTCTCTAAAAACAATTGATACATTGCTTTAAAACTCAATTCCTCTTCTTCACTTTGGCACCAGTTTCTGTCAGTGCCATGTAGTGCTACATTCAATAGATCCAATGTGTTAGATTTTAACTCTTCTTGACATGAAGTTACAAAGAGACTTTAAAGTTTTGCTGCAGGATTAAGCTTCAGCATAGAGCTTTCAGCCCCCAGCACATTCATAGCATTAAGTATGAGGGCAGAAGACAGAGCAGGTGTGGGGGTGCTTTCTGTTTTGGATAAGATAAAATTGTTGCCAGTCCATTATAGGATGGCCAGGTTAGCACCTGGGATTGCTTCAAAGATAAGTAATTTTTTTATACACAGTCAATGCATAGGACATTTCACTCCGTGCAATAAAAATTGGTCCTGAAGCTCTGTAAGTAGAGGAATTAATTCTTCAAGAACTTAGTGACAAAGCAACAATGAAGATACATAGCAGAAAGTAAAAACATATTTTGGCTGCCATCTCATTGCATCACACAAGAACCCCCCCCCATGTCTTCTCATCCCTTAATCCAAGAAGTGAACTAACTTGTCTCTCATACAAATAAAATCTTTAAGGCCTGGAATAGCAAAATAAAACCATGGGTTAGGAACAGGACACACACAGCTTTGTCTGTTTTGTTTTTTTTTTTTTTGAGAAAATCCCAAGATGACCAGTTTCATCATATGGAATGTAGACACAGTGTTTTCAGGTTTAAAATACAGTGCAAAGTCCATTTTTAAAGGGACAGTGTCAGGTAAAAGAATTAAAGTTGTCTAACAGTAGAAAACCTGGATGAGTGTAATTTATTGTACTGATGCTGTCTGTTGTACATTTTGCTTAGTTTGTGCTGTGAAGCCATACTAGCCAATTTAACTGTTTGGTGCTCTGTGCATTCACAGGCTGCCTTTATATAACAACTTCAGCAGTGTCTCAGAATAAAATAAATATGAGAACACGTTCTTTACTCAAGGTCTGAAAAACAGATATTGCAGACAGAAGGTACAAGGTCTGACTGAGCCTGTCACTGTCCCTTTAAATATAGCTAATCTCTACCTCCACCCTTTTCCATTGCACCTGCACAGCCTAGGAAGGCTTAAAAGGGACTTACAGGCTCTAAGAACATAATTATCCAGTGGCACGTTGAGGGGAGAACATGAAAGACTACAGGCACAGGGTGGGACAGAAACCTCCATGGTCGATATCTTTAAAGGCAGCTGTACCTGATACATATATGGTCATTCAATTCTCTTTCTGCATTCAGCAGCATGTAAATATAGTCCAAATACTCTCAAGTTTAACATAGCAATGACAGCTTCTGTTTTCCTCACCCAGGTCCTGCTGAGTGATACATACTTGTTAAGTGAAACACTCAGTGGTGTGATAAGAGTCCCTTTGTATAGAAAACCTTCTTGCTGAGAGTTTCTATAGAGAGCCCAGTGCTTCTCCAAAGCGGATTTTCTGTCCGGCTTTGAGGTGGAATTTGAAGTCCTTGGGTGCCTCAAAGATTAGTACGATTGTAGAGCCTAAGTTAAATTCCCCTAAATGTTCCCCTTTCCTCATGGGGATTCCCTCCTTGTTGTTGTTGGATATGAAGCTGAAGTCATTGTAGGAACCTTTAGAGTAACGTGGACTGTTGGTATGCAAGTCCTATACAGAGAAGGAAGAAACTGTTACTTCAGGATTTCAGTACTGTCTATTCATTAGCACAGCTGTAGACTGGATATCCAGGCTTTTTCAGTGCAGGAACTTAAAATTCTAAAGTGCAACAGGAATATTAAAAAAATAGTCTATACCAGAGATGACTCCCTTTAAATCAGTCTTAAAACATCAGTATTGTGAAACACCTTAATTTCAGGGTAATAAGATTTTAAGGGGTTTTTTTTGTAGTTTTCTTTTATTATACTGTACCAACCTCAACCATCAAAACCAGAAAGCTGCCTACTACTATCTTGCTCACCTGGTCAAAGTAGATGCGGATAGAGCCCACATTTGTTGCTCCTACAGCTGTTAAAGAGAAAAAGCCATGTTTCCAGTCACCTGTAAGGACAACCCGTTCATTGTGGCAGAACAGTTCTTTGATCCAGCGAGCAACTCCAGGATTCACAGACATTAGAGAGCCTGCAGTAGTGAGAAAATATTCAAGTTAAGTTGTCTGGTTTGTAGCAGTATTATAATGCCATCTAAATGGTATTTTCAGTATAACTGTAGCTGATCCAGTAAGCAATTGTCACTTATTTTTATAGGAAGAGAGGCAAATGTTAGGCAGAGCAAATGAAAGACAAGGCTGTAGTAAAAACAAAGGGGTCATAGAAAGATGTAATCTGTAGTCTTCTGTCCAGAAAGATCAACACTTTTGGGCAGGGCTCATATTACTTTGCATTTTTCCTAGCAGAGTCACAGAGAAACTAAAGACCATACTCATCCCTCATTGTAAGGCTTGAACGCAATCTGGAGTACCATCTACAGTTCTGTTAGAAGGCAAAGGGTTTAAATTTTCATACCTGGAAATGGTTCTTTTCAGTACCCCCCACCCCACCTCCCTCAGCTTTCACTTACTCCCATCTACAGCTTCACCTTGACTGCTTTTCCAGACAGTAAAAGCCTGCCGTTAAAGTAGGGAGCAAAATCTGGGATGGGAGTCCCTTTCAAAATATCTGCCATTGTTGAAGCCTATTCTAGGATCAGTCATACCTACTCTTCTGTCACACCAAACTGAGGTGGCAGGGACTCATTTCCACACTACCTGATGCTATTCCTCTACCAAAGATGTAACCAACCAACTTCACACTAGTGTCATCTACAAATTCACAAATGACAACTACTGTTAATTGTCATCTGATAGGCCCTTAAGAGAGATCAGGGTAAGGACAAAGGCAGAGCTAGTCCCTAGTCTCAGACCTGATAGATAGAATTGAAAGAAGCCTTCTAATAAGCACATAAGATCCATCTTAACAAAAGGCTACAGGCTCCTAAAAGGAAGCTAAAGAAACTTTTTACAGCTTAGGAACAGGTTTCGCTGGTTAACTATCGATTGCACGAGAGCAGCCCCTTCCAGTTCTTTTTGGTAAAAGCATAAGAGTGGTTACTGAAACTGTGGCTGAAAACCAAGTAGCTATCTAGCTAGAGCTGACCAGGAAATACTAATAATGTGAATCAGTTAAAAAAAAGTTTATTACAGAAGAACCTCAAAGATTTAAATCCCAACAAAGTCCTTACAATAATTTAGTGAGGTATATTCACTACATACATTTTTAGCTATAAAATGCATCTGCTGCATTGAATCCGATAGCAGCATTTCACTAATACTCCTTTGTTTCAGTCAAGGCCTAGCTTCAGTCTGGAACTTGACAGATTTCTCAAACCTTGTGGCAAGTCATTGTCTCTCCCTCACGGTGTTTGAAACAAAATCCAAGTGCTTAGGTTTTTGCTAGATACCAAGAATTAAAACATTTTTGTTAACTGCTGAACTACAGTATGATGATCTGCAAAGAGGAGGACAAAAGCATCTGATCCCAGCTCTAATAATGTAACTGTTTAGTTGCATCTTCTTTGCCGAGCACAGGAAGAGATCGTATCTCAGGCTACTGTTTGCTCTGATCTGCAGAACTATTTGTATTTCAGGTGCAAACTGAACAAATCATGTTTGGGAACGAGTCAGGTCAGCATGCATCGACAGTTATTTCAAAGAACTAAAACAGCTTTCATACAATATTACTGTTTTCACCATTTGTATGTTGTTTGTTCTGGTAAACTATACTACCATAAAATTCATTACCATTTTCAACCATTATCTATCACGCAACTGTACAAGTGCTCCACTGGTGTGTCTCATTCAGCAGTGGCCCACACCAGCGCTTCCCTCCATAGCTGCTCTACGTTCGTTTTCTAGGAACAGAAACCTACCTGGGAAATGACGCCGGTGTGACACTCTCCAGTCAGTGGGTGAGTGGAAGCAGTGATAATCCCCTGGTGCAAGGTAGATTACACAGTGATAGAGCTCGTTCCCCTCCTTTGTGACTAGTTGTTGCTGAAAAGAGTTACCAGGTGGGGCTGCAAAGAAACCGCGAAAAGAAAGGGGTTAAAGATATTCTTCATGCAGTCATCTACCATAGCCGAGCAGTCTACATTAGAACCAGTGGTAATAGCAGAGGACTAAATGCAGTCCACATGCATTGTTGAGACTATAAAAAGCTACACTTTGTCCAGGAATCCAATATTTCAAAGTGTTCTTTTTCCTTTATAACAAAATTAGATCCCGTATTGTTTTAATAATTTTGGAAATTCCTTCATTTTGGAGTTTGCCCTTCCCTAAACAGAAGAGCAGAAACC